ATACATAGTTTTACAAGGTACTTATGCAAGTACATCAAGGCATGGAGGATATAACAGTCCATATACAGTGATACATAGTTTTACAAGGTACTTATGCAAGTACATCAAGGCATGGAGGATATAACAGTCCATATACAGTGATACATAGTTTCACAAGGTACTTATGCAAGTACATCAAGGCATGGAGGATATAACAGTCCATATACAGTGATACATAGTTTCACAAGGTACTTATGCAAGTACATCAAGGCATGGAGGATATAACAGTCCATATACAGTGATACATAGTTTTCACAAGTACTTATGCAAGTACTTATGCAGTACATCAAGGCATGGAGGATATAACAGTCCATATACAGTGATACATAGTTTTACAAGGTACTTATGCAAGTACATCAAGGCATGGAGGATATAACAGTCCATATACAGTGATACATAGTTTTACAAAGTACTTATGCAAGTACATCAAGGCATGGAGGATATAACAGTCCATATACAGTGATACATAGTTTTACAAGGTACTTATACAAGTACATCAAGGCATGGAGGATATAACAGTCCATATACAGTGATACATAGTTTTACAAGGTACTTATGCAAGTACATCAAGGCATGGAAGATATAACAGTCCATATACAGTGATACATAGTTTTACAAGGTACTTATGCAAGTACATCAAGGCATGGAGGATATAACAGTCCATATACAGTGATACATAGTTTTACAAGGTACTTATACAAGTACATCAAGGCATGGAGGATATAACAGTCCATATACAGTGATACATAGTTTTACAAGGTACTTATACAAGTACATCAAGGCATGGAGGATATAGTCCAGTCCATATACAGTGATACATAGTTTTATAAGGTACTTATGCAAGTACATCAAGGCATGGAGGATATAACAGTCCATATACAGTGATACATAGTTTTACAAGGTACTTATGCAAGTACATCAAGGCATGGAAGATATAACAGTCCATATACAGTGACTCTTAGCTTTACAAGGTACTTATACAAGTACATCAAGGCATGGAAGATGTAACAGTCCATATACGGTAATACATTGATTTTACAGAGTACTTATACAAGTGTATCAAGCTATGGGGTGATACAGTGATACATAATTTTACAAGGTACATATACAAGAGGTTTAAGGCGGAGATTTGAGGCATGGAAGATATATAACAGGCTAGGTTTCTGATGACAGATTCTTCTTGAGAAGACATAAGTAAATAAAACTTAGCCAGAGTTGGGAATTCAAAATAATTCAAAGGGATATATTTCTGGCGGAGATTATAATTGACTTCACAGGTCAGAAAAAATGATATTCTGTTGAGTCCGGAATTACTCTGCAAAGTATTTCATTCCTTGGGATATCAAGATACCTGCCAGTTTAAATGGCTAATTTATGGGAGCTGCAGCGAAACAGAGCAAGTGCCGTTCTAAATTGATTTATGGTTATAGCAGAGAGGTAAAGCTCAGGTTGGAAAACAGTCTCGAACATAGAATAGTTATAGCATTTGTGGCTATTAAGGATATTGTCGTGCCACTCCTGTTCATAGGGGCATTATTAAAGCTATACTTGTCTTTCCCAAATGTAGCCAAAACCGTGATTATACAGAAGAGATACAGCGACACCCAGGTTGTCGACTCATTCATCGTCAATTGTAAAAACATATCATAACTCTTTTGGGGGATAACGGTAATCTGGCATACTAATATGCTTTAACCAATACCTAAAGCAGAGGATATAAACTGTGTTATAAAAAGGGTATCTGCCACATTCCCTTGCACAATTTTACACCCAAGACACGTTTACAGGCCAGAACATTGACGGATTCAATTTCTTTACAAGCAGATAATCTCCAAACTTCAACATCATACAGCAGAATTGGAAGGACCATAGAGTCGAAGATACTAAAAAACAATCTCAAAGGCAATGGTTTAATTTGTGTAAGATGCCAAAGAGAGCCCGTTTTGCTTGTAAAACAATACTGACGATGTGTCTTGACCAGGATAAGCTCTTTGAAAAAGACATTGCAACTGGACATCGCCACCTTTAAATACACCAACTTTTGTCTTATCCATATCAATAGCTAAAGAGTAGTTATCACACTATTTTTCAAAGAGTATCAATCCTCTTTTGTAATTCAAATATGGTGTCAGAGATAAGAACTACATCATCAGTAAATAAGAGTAAGAACACTTGAATTATATCTGGGTGGAGTTGTATACCGTGGTCACACTCCGACTCTATAGCTGAAGCCAAATCATTAATAAACAGACTGAACAACAATGAGCTTAGAATACAACCTTGTTTCAACCCAAGATCACAACGAAAGATATCTGAAAAATGTTATCAAACTTTACACAAGCATATACATTCTTATACATTTGGGGGGATATACCAATTGTATTCAGAACTGCTTAGAGTTTAGACCTGTTAATTGAATCAAACGCCTTGGAAAAGTCTACAAATGTATATATTTTACCACTCTTCTTAGACAGATAGCGTTCAATGATAGACAGTAATGTGATACCCCTATAGTTCCCTGAAGAATAACATCACCTTTTTTCAAAGACTGGGACAATGTGGCCTACTGTCCAGGAACTAGGGAAGAAGGCTGCATCGAACATGGCGTTGAACAGCAAAGTAATAAATTGTACCAATAAATCACTTGCACATTTAAACATCTCGGCTATTAATAGGTCATTACTAGCTGCTTTGTTATTCTTTAACTTGTTGATGGCAGCTACAATCTCAGTGTGGAAGTGGCATACTGTTTACAAAGTATAGTGTCTGTGGATTCTAACAAAAAGTGACATACTGTATTGTTTACAAAGAAAGCTGTCTGTGGATTCTAACAAAATCAAGTGGCAAACTGTATTGTTTACAAAGTATACTGTCTGTAGATTCTAACAAAAACAAGTGGCATACTGTATTGTTTACAAAGTATACTGTCTGTGGATTCTAACAAAAACAAGTGGCATACTGTATTGATTAAAAAGTATACTGTCTGTAGATTCTAACAAAAACAAGTGGCATACTGATTACAAAAACAAGGGGCATTGTTTTTTACAAAGTATACTGTCTGTGGATTCTAACAAAACAAGTGACATACTGTATTGTTTTTCAAGTATACTGTCTGTGGATTCTAACAAAACAAGTTCTGTATTGATTAACAAAAGTATACTGTCTGTAGATTCTAACAAAAACAATTCTGTCTTGATTTATTAAGATTCTAACAAAACAATGGCAAAGATTGTTTACTCCTGTCTGTAGATTCTAACAAAACAAGTGGCATACTGTATTGTTTACAAAGTATACATTTCTAACAATACACTGTCTGTGATTCTAACAAAACAAGAAACAAACTGTATTGATTTACATGTTAAAGAGTCTGTCTGTGGATTCTAACAAAACAAGTGGCATTCTGTATTGATTAAAAAGTATACTGTCTGTAGATTCTAACAAAAACAAAGTGGCACAGGGCTGTATTGATTTAAACCTTATACTGTCTGTCTGTGGATTCTAACAAAAACAAGTGGCATTCTGTATTGATTAAAGAGTATACTGTCCTGTATTGATTTAAAACCGTCTGTGTTTCTAAGTGTCTTCAAGGGTAAAGTTTCTCTTATTGGCTTAATAGAGAATATTTGATATGTCATAGCATTTCTCAATGTTTTCATATATATTTGAAACAGACTGGGTACATGTTGTCAGGGTATGTTAAAATTTCATTAAACCTTGCCAGCCCTGACCTAACCTACCTGCCCACAAAATGTCTTCATATATATGTTCACAATTTAACTCGATCGTCCGGCAGGTGAATTTGAGAATCTGGCAGTCAGTGTTGAAAATAACCCGTCCCGGGCAGTCGGGTAAGCAGGTATTTCGAACGCTGGTGTTGTTAAATTCGTAGACCCTCCCAAATATTTACAACTTTCAATTACAATATATACAATAAGCAGGCAGAAAGAACACCATTACAAAGTATTGGAGTACGTTCTATGAACAATACACATCAAACCAGATTAAATCAAACCAGATTAAAAGTTTGTTACGTCGGTATTATACAGTCTGAAAATAATTGCGTTTAACATCGATCAACACAATAATAATTTGAATCTTCATTGGTGCCTTGGGTAAATCAATAATGTTTTAGTTGCTCATCCTTTATCTTATCTTTGCATTAAGAATATTTAGTTTTCTTCTGCCAAATGAAGGTAGACACCAAGAAAAGGTTAAGCACTCTATGCTATCCTGGCCATTGAAAACATGTGAATGCGTTAACATTTATCATCGCATCAACATTATTTCAGCCTTAAAGCAACAAGGTACATATACACAAGTCTGTTATAAATACGATGCACTTTTGTTCAACACATTCTAAAATAACAATATAATTTACATTTTCAAAGTGGACTAAAAGCTCAAATTGAAAAACAAGCTATTATTTATACACATACATATTTACAGTTTATGATTCTGAACAATTTCTTTCAAGTACTTTATTTATCACAAGAGATACACTAAGATACTTGAGGCTCATCCTCATCTGTTGTATGTAGATATTTGTGAGTAAACCTTGACTGTGGCTAATACTCGAGATGACCTCATGTATGCATGACCGGTAGTTGAAAACGTGTGCGCTTAACCTAAATCTATGTCAGTTGAAACCATGAACATGTACTAGTTTCTCTGTGTTTGATACATAACAACAACAATCATAGCATTTTGGAAAGTGATAAATAGTTATCGTTTCATTTTATGCATCGGTTATATTTGGGATTATACTTTTTCAGTTTCTAGTACTTTGGGGGCTTGACTCCAATTCGGGATTCGAACCTATACTCTCATAGTCATTAACCTAATCGCCAGAACACAAAGTCAACGATCTAACCCACTAAGCCACTTCCAGGCTTCCACTAAAAATGGAAGTCTGACAACTGGTTGTCTTGATCAAGTACTTTGCGAGTGCCGATTGACACGGCTCCCACAATCGAAAACTTCACATTTTCAAGGTGAATATTTAGAAGCAATAAAATTCCTTTTCTTAAGATTTTCATGTTTGATAAAGACGTAGAGCTAGTAAATAGCTGAATATTATTCACATTCTACATGAGAAGGAAAATATTATTAAACGTTTAATGAACAACGTGGAAGCGAATAGAAACCCTTCGCTTTGAACAAACATTTCCGATGTGATGTGTTTATTATAATGTGATGCGATTCCAAACTCAGATTCACCTTTTCTACAGCTTCAGATTAGGGCGTGATTTTTGATTGACTACTGTGAGATCATGATTATCATAATAATCGCAATAGACTGAGATGCCAGGTTTAATTCACATACAATATTTAATTTTAAAGGGCGCATTTACCTAACAGCATTGATAAGACTGGCCATTTCTATCGCAGTATAGTTACAAGGAGTGGCATATCAGTAGAGAATATTGTTCACCCAAATCGGTTCCATTGCATGTTAAATTATCCGATGGTGCACCTCATCCATCTACCCTTATAAAAAGCATTATGTGAATACTTTTTTCCAGTTTTGTGGCATAGCCAAGGCAGGAGACATGTGAATAGTCATCAAATATATATATATTCTCTTTGAAGAGCCTGTAAAATATTCATTGAGCTTAGTCACATTAGTATCATAAAATGACTGGGCATAAAATATTCTAAGAATAATTATGTACAGAGATAGAAACTTGTAATTGAATGCAACACGATGGAATGATATAGGTATGTTGTTGTATTACAAGGTTACAATTGCAGTGTCATTATATGTGACATAGTGTTTCAGTGCACAATAGCATCACAATACAATCCTCCACTGAACATCCTGCATTGATGCGATATATAAAGATGTCATATACATCTTCTGATTCAATGAAACCGATGTACATATTAACAAGGTTACACACACAGACGCACACGCACACACATACACACACACATACTCACATTCGGTAATTCACAAATGATCAGTGCATTTTATGTGTGTATATCCTCTGATTTGAAGTAAACTGGTTTGCATAACATATTTACACTCAAACACATCAAATTTATTCTATATACACCACAAAGAAACTCTTCTTGGATATGTCATGAGAGAATGTGTTGATTGAAATATTTGGATCCAATATCTTCTCTTTTGGGGTCCTGCATTCCCTTGTCTTGATCTTCCACAGTTACAAAACACAGATGATGTTCACTTCACAAATGTTATGGATTTTGCTTGCACATAATAATGCTGCCCGATTACCGCTAGTCCTCTGTTACTTGTCCATGGAACATACGTCTTTTCTTCGTCAACTGCTCAGCCGTCTCTCCTCTCCCGTTTTCTATATGAATATCAGCCCCATTCTCAGTAAGGAGTTCATATAACTCGCGATATCTATCATCCTGTTCTTCAAAACATATATCATAAACACAATGCAAAGGCGTGTTGCCAGCTTGATCCTGAGAGTTCACGTCTGACACAGGTAGCAACACACTTACACCTTCTCTACATTGTTCTCGTGCTGCAAGATGCAGAGGTGTCTGTCCCCACTTGTTCTTGGCATGCCCATCCGCCCCCCTTTCAAAGAGGAGTTGGTGTACTTCTCGACACGGCTTCGTACAGTATGTGTCATGTATGTAGTGGAGGGCGGTGTTGCCATCTTCATCTTTGGCATTTACATCTAACACCTTTCGCATCAGCTCTACGCATTTTGTACATTTACTTTTTCCTGCATTGTGCAGAGCTGTCAGTCCCTTTCTGTTCTTGATCTGAACATCACCCCTTTTAGCAATAAGATCGTGGTAAATCTTTTCACATCCGTCCTTACAAAAGTGTGCAGAATGCAAGCAGTGGAAAGCTGTGTTGCCTGCATTGTCTTGGGCATTTACGTCTGACACAGCAAGTAACAATTTGACACCTTGAAAACATTGCTTACTTGCTATTAAATGCAGCACTGTCTGTCCCATTTTGTTTCTGAGATGGCCATGTAAACCCTTCTGAATAAGAAGGCGTAATATTTCGTGGCAGTTATCTTCCTCTGTAGTAAATATACTTGTATCGTGTATGCCATGAGCAGCTGTGTTATCTTTGTTATCTTTGACATTCACGTCTGTCACCTCAAGCAACAGTCTCACACATTCTGGACATTGCCTCCTTGCTGCCTCGTGCAGAGCCGTTTCTGCATAAGTCTTTTCTTTGATATTTCCATCGGCCATCTTTTCCACAAAGAGTTTACATAATTCATGGCAATTATCCTCTTCATTATTGTGACGTACATAGTGCAAAGCTGTCCTACCATACATATCCTGAGCGTTTGGGTCAGCCACAGATAGCAGGAGTCTAACATTGTCAATATTCTGTCTTTCTACTGCCATATGAAGAGGGGTCTGTCCAGACCTATTTTTTATTTCTACATTTGCCTTTTTATCAATGAACATTTTATACATTTCTTTGTGGCGTGAACCATGACATTTTTCATGTATACAATGCAACGCTGTATCGCCACGTGCATCCTGGGCATCTACATCGGACAGAGGTAGTAAGATCTTTGCACTTCCTTCACACTGTATCGCTGCTGCATAATGAAGAGCTGTCTTTCCAGTCTTGGTCTTGATTTTAGCATCTGCTCCATTTTCAACAAGGACATTGTGCATTTCACTGCAGTCACCTGCACAACCAATAGGATGCACACATTGGTGTACATAGAGTAAAGGTGTGTTACCATGTCTATCCCGTCCATTCACACCTGTTTCAGTTGCTAAAAGTTTTACACCTTCCGTGCACCGTCCCAGCGCTGCCAAATGTAACGCTGACTGTCTTTCTATGTTTGTGATATGTTTATCACCTCCTTTCTCGATGATTAGTTGATAGATCATACGGCAGGAATCTACACTTGATGCAGATATATGGATTTTGCCCTTATGTAAAGAATGTAAAGGAGTGTTACCGGCTTTATCAAGGGCGTTTACTTCTGACACAGGCACCAAAAGTTGAACACACTGCACACAAGGTCTCTCTGCTGCCAAATGCAGGGCTGTCTTACCCAGTCCATTTTTTATATGAACGTTAGCCCTGTTATCAATAAACAATTGCAATAGCTCATGTACTTCCTGTTTCCAAGGGGTACCCAGCCTGCCATAAGTGTACAAACAATGTACTATTGTGTCACCATTGCAATCCTGGGCATCTATGTCAGAAGTCGATAACAACGAACTGACACATTTCACACACTTGACAATCGTGGCAACGTGCAGAGGTAACTGACCTTTATTATTAGGCTTCTGCTTTCCAGACACCCTTTCCTTTAGTAGAAACTCCAATACATCATGGTGGTGGACTTCACAAGAACCAACCAAATAGTGAAAAACTGTGTTACCCTTGTCATCAGGGTCAGTTACACCAGGCCATGAAAGGAAGATGCTAACACATTCCTGACACTGTTTCCATGCTGCCCTTTGGAGAAGAACACTGGCTGTTTTGGGCTGCACCTGTACTGACGTTTCCATATCTCTTAAAGACTTCAAGAACTGGTGATGCTTCTTACTGTGACACCAACTTTCTTGAACATCATCTGGAGCAGAATGGGGAATTTGAAAGACCTCGTGTAACAGCTCAAGCACTTTATCTGATTCATGTTGACATGAGGCAAGAATCAACATTTCATCGAGATCCATGGTGCCACCTTCTCCCTGAAGTAGTTTTATGACATCAACAGCTTTGGATATGTCAGTTGTTGCCATCCTATCCTCTTTGCGTATACATTCTTGACCTGGAACACAACATTTCTGAGTGTGTCTGTCAATACACATTTGTAGATACTGACTGTATAACTGTGTGGGATCTTGTATATGTGTATTGCACAAATCAATTATCCTTTTGACACATATCACATTGCAGCTCTGTATTGCAATTTGAAGCAAATGATTCAGTTCTTCTGGTTCTGGTTTCATCTTTTCTGTTAGCTTTACGCAATTATCAGATTCGATGGATGGCCTTCCAGCTAGAAGTCGAAAACATTCATTTGAGGGGTGTGCTCTGTGGGAGAGTAACATTTCTACTAAATCATTCTGGCTCCTGTCTACAGCACACGTTAACGCTTCATCCAAGACAGACTGGGTATCATCTGTAGCAGCTCCGAATGATTCAATAATTAGCTTTGCAAACTCTGTCATCTTGTTGAAGATTATGTGGGATAAGCAATACACGTAAGTACGGCGGACAACATTCTCTGACAACATGTCGTTTGCTAATATCAAATATGAGGACATTTCATGCATTGACATCCTGTGAATATTTGTAACATCCCATTCTCTGAACATTTCCTCTAAGATGTCAACATTATTTAGAGAAGGGTGAGACAGCACTATGTCTCGACTGTCCTCTTCTGATAAATACTCCTTGAGTTTGTTTGCAAATGCAGGATACAAATCTTCATTAAGGACAACTGCATTTGCTGTTTCACAAATCTCAACTTGCTCGTCTTTCGTTCTGACGAATTCTACCAACGTTGATGGGGTGCAGAATTCGATTCCTAAATCTGGGTATGATTTACACAAATCCACCAACAAGACATCATGTATCGACCTGTGCGAAAACATGTACATCTTTCCGTCACTCACAAGATAAATCTCACAGAGAAATTCAGCAATTTCCCTAATGACTGGCTTTTGTTTCAAACCACACACTTCTTTAATTTGCTTGCACCGAGTTTTAAAATCCCGAGAATGATTTAATGTCTTCAACTCTTTGATCGGTAAATACCCATTGTATAATAACACTAGTAGTAAAACATAAAACGATTCCCTTTGCTCCTTCTTGATACTATTAAGTTCAAAACTGATATACTCAAATGGCTTATGAAAAAACTCCAGTCCTTTTCTTTGAACATGCTCATTTGAAGCAAAAAATACGCAGCACTGAGGGAAGCCTAGAGCAGTGTTTATACTTGCAATCTCTCTTCTGAGTCCTTGAGGGACATATTTTCCACACACTGTGGAAATAAACTGTAGTTTTTCGTCTACTGTGAGACAATGATTTCCAACATCCAATCGGATATCTGTTGAAAGGCTGAATATGTTATATCTCTGTAAGTTTGGCATTGCTTGAGAAATTATTTCAGGCCTTGACGTAATCACTATCCAGATTGTACCAGCTTCAACTGAAGGCCACACAAGTTCAAACCTCGGTCTCCACTGGTCCAGATTGTATTTTATTAGATTACAAGAACCAAAAATATCGTCAATCATAACCACATACTTATCGCAGGGCATTGATTTCGGTACATAGGCCCATTCGTCAGGGGAGGATATTTTTAGCGGTAGTCGTGAGAACGCCTTTGATACTCTTTCTAACAGAGTGTAGCCAAGATGTGACTTGCCAGTTCCTGACCTTCCCTTGATGACCACACAGCCTTTCTCTGTCAGATGTCTGTAGGCAACATCTTCTACATGGGTCGAAACATGGTTTTTCGCACGTGTCGATTGGATTTTCAGGTTTGTTTCGGCTGAAGAAAATAAATAACATAATCAAATCATCATATGTATCACATCTGTACGGTTTTATTGCTTACTCTTCAGACCAAACACATTCAGCCACGAGAACATTATGGGTTATAGTTAACATATACGACAGCAGCATTCTAAAGTTAAATTATTTAAATGGGGAAAGACATGCGTCTACATGTATTTTAAGGTTTATCTTCGTCTGAAAGGGAATTTCTAAGATTCTAGAAACTTACGAAGCGTAATCCCGATTATTTCGTGATGTTCAGTATATTTTTATGATATGGGATTTTTAAATGTACATTTTCCAACATATTCAGCCGCTATCCACTATTAAGGAAATACACTGCCAATATTAAACAATAGTTTAAGAGGAGTTGTATTTACGAAAATCCTAAGTGTTAAATATTTGTTTCCACGCAGATGGAATCTTGCGTAGTTCTAGGTAAATTGTGGCGGGGGATAGCCGGGTTGTTAAAGCGTCCGCACGTCACGCTGAATACGCGGGTGCTGTTGTTCAAAGCAACCTTAGTGCTACGACTACCTTTGTACAACGGCATTTAGGGTTGGATTCAACTGACAACTACCAATTCTATTAATGTATATATCAGCATGGCATAGATTCTGTTATATATTGGAATATACATTTGGAAAGCGAGAGTGATTCATATTACTGTTTGCTTGTTTGTTTAGTTTGTCTTTTGTTTAAAGCTGCACTCAGCAATATTTCAGCTATGGTGGCGGTCTGTAAATAATCGAGCTTGGATCAGAAAATCCAGTGATCAACAGTATAAGCGTCGATCTATGCAATTGGGATACGATGACATGTGTAAAAAAGTTAGCAAGCCTGACCACCCGATCCCGTTTTTCGCCTCTTACGACAAGCATGGGTTGCTGAAGACCAATTCTAACCCGAATAAATTTACGGGTCCATTAAGCTAACTAGAAATCGATATTCATTTTACAGTGGCGGTCTGTAAATAATCGGGTCTGGATCAGACAATCCAGTGATTGACAGCAAGAACATCGATCTACACATTGGGAAACGGAATTAATAGTAAAGAAGACACGAAAATGCAGTGCAACACTACTCACCTATCAAATCCGAAAGAGGCGACCATCCATCTGCCGGAATGTGAAAATAATAACGTTATGTGAAATATATAATTAAGTCATCTTAAACATACAGGCGACACAATAAGACACATTTGTCTTATGGACATAAACATAATAATTTGTAACATTGCATTCCATAATATAATTATATAATTTGATAGTTACTTGACAGTCATACTTTTGCAAAATGTTACAACACACACTTAGGTTTATTGGAAGAGAATGGAAATTAGCTGCAATCGATCTGCGAGGTTGTGTTTTTGCGTTTTTGTTTAATGCCATACTCAGCAATATTCCAGCTATATAGCGGCGGTCTGTGAATAATCGAGTCTGGACCAGACAATCCAGTGATCAATACGATGACGTGTCAACCAAATCACCCGATCCCGTTAGTCGCCTCTTGACAAGTACGGGATGCTGAAGACCAATTCCAACCAGGATCTTGGTGGGTGCAGATGTTGGCTTTGTCACTGAGGTCACATAACTGACACCAACTACCAAAATAAGACAACGTCATGTTCAAACACGTGCACTGAGGAACTTACAATTGATAACACCCGCTACAGTGCTGTTGATAGCAGTTCCTCCCATCATACCCGTCTGTGAGACTGAAATTTCACGAACAATTATGAAGACATTCAAACTTGCATCGGAATACAGAATAGGACACTTCGACTAGACAATGACCTCTAGTTAATCCCAGGACGTTTGACTGAAGTCATTAAGGATAGACTTTGTGTGCAAACTCCAATTTTAGTTTGACATAAGTTAATGCCTAAACCAAGTCCCAAACTAGGGAGCAGACTCGGCATAAAGGATTTTACGTATCTAATTGAAAATCAAGTGAACTCCAATATCTATGAATACACATTGTAAACCAAGAGTCACTGTGTTCTTTAATCTTTTAATCTGATTGGTTGAAAAACGTGATCAAATGGTATTCGATTCCCGGAAATTCGCTGCGTATTAATACATGCAAACATCGCTCACACCATTGTATTGTTACGTCGTCAGCTGTGATGACGTCATTAAAATCAAATTGTGACGTAAAGTCCGAATGACGTCACAAATGAGCAGTTCCAGATGCTACCATGGGAAACAGCCGAAACGGCCGGCTGATGATATTTCACTGCTGTACCCGTACTCGATGTCAATGAGTGCAAACACAAAAACGTGTGTGGACCTTTTGGTTTACTTTTGTGTCGATAAACATCATGTGTTGGCCAATTTCCGGGTGTTATTGAGTATTTGAAGCACGGGAATATTTCATTTGACGTCGTCGGTTCCAAATGAATTCCCGTGCTTCAAATACTCAATAGCACCCGGAAATTGGCCAACACATGATGTTTATCTCCTAAATGTCATTTAGAAAGTCATCACATGCAACGCATTATATTTGGATCACACTTTCGGAGTAAAGTACAGATTCTAGTACTTTAATTGGGTCGAGACCCATTCTTGATTTGAAACCACACCCTCAGAGTCAGGCACGAGAGAAGTACTAGAATCTGTTCTTTACTGAGAAAGTGTAATCCCAAATAATACGTGTTACTTCCAATATACCTACTTGTATAGTGTGGTTGGGACATTTCTGGAGAAGCTTCTACTGAGGAGTCTGATCTCGCATGTTTTGCAGACGTATTCCCATCTAATGCCGTGTGTCTCTGTATCCTAATAGGTAATATCTGAAACAAAAACATGATAGATTTTAGCCGTAACACCTCAAGTTAGAAACAGACTGTTCACTGGTAATAAAAACCAAACCGCAGCTGCACGCTGTATCATTCAGGTCTCGGTGGGGTAGCCGAAACTTATAGCTTTCGCTCGTCATAAAGAAGACCCGGGTTCGATTCCCCCCGCATAAAAGACTGAAACGTCCGATCAACTCTGCTTGTAGGGCCGGACCATTTGTTATCCAGGGAATAGATGTTTTTAGCATTTAATTTTGAATCCAAATGCATTTTCCAGTTCCAACTGCAGAGCCACATTACCCCTAGCCGTGAAGATCCGGGTTGGCATTGGTCTTCTGCGATACACCGACGCCGAGACTCGACCTCTGTTAATGAGGAAGGGCGTTTACCCCTATGAATACATGGACAGCTGGGCCAAGTCCAACGAGACACGACTGCCTCCCATCAACCGATTTTACAGCAACTTGACCGACTCGACTATCACCCAGGACGATTACTCGCACGCGATTAACCTATGGAATAAACTGGGCTGCAAGAATCTGGGTGATTACAACAACCTGTACTTGAAAACAGATGTACTCCTGTTGGCCGACGTGTTCGAGATATTCAGAAAAACATATATTCGAAACAGTATGACCTAGATCTCCTATTTCTCCTCCCCGGGTCTCTCTCGGGATGCCTTGTTGAAAAAGACTGGTGTGAAACTCAAACTATTGACGGATTACGACATGCACCTGTTCATCGAAAAAGTCTTCCAAGGTGGTATTTCCATGGCTTCCAAACGCTACACGAAAGCCAACAACAAGTACGTGAAGGGCTATAATCCGAATCAACCCACCACCGATATCCTCTATCTCGACACCAACAAGCTGTACGGCTGGGCCATGAGCCAGTATCTACCCACCGGGGGGATTCGAGTGGACACACGAGACGATCGACGTCATGGGCATCGTGTCAGAATCGAAAAAAGGCGACATACTCGAAGTGGACTTGGAATATCCCGTGGAATTACACAAATCACACAAAAGCTATCCACTCGCTCCCGAACGTTTGACACTTAACCCAGATTGGATGTCCAACTACCAACGAAACTTGCTGGGGAAAAATAAGCCGGCTAACGTTGAAAAACTCGTACCCAACTTGATGAAGAAGAAAAAATATATCGTTCACTATCGCAACCTGCAACTGTACCTGTCGCTGGGAATGAAACTCACGAAAATTCATAGGGTGCTCAAGTTCGACCAGAGTCCGTGGATGGAGCCCTACATTAGAATGAACACGGACTTGTGAAAGCGGGCCAACAGTGATTTCGAGAAAAACCTGTACAAGCTCATGAACAACTTGGTGTTCGGTAAGACGATGGAGAACTTGAGAAAACACGTGAAGCTAGTCCGGTCGAAAGAGGAAAATAAGCTCAGGAGGAGGAGAAATAGGAGATCTAGGTCGTACTGTTTCGAATATATGTTTTTCTGAATATCTCGAACACGTCGGCCAACCGGAGCAAGATATTCAGCGACGATCGGGTGGCCCTGCACATGAGGAAAAGGGGATGAGCATCCTCGACTTATCCAAACACCTGATGTACGACTTTTACTACAACGAACTGAAGAAACAGTACGGCGAACGGTGTGAAGTGCTGTACACAGACACGGACTCCCTGCTGATGGAAATTCGAACCAATGACATGTACGAGGACATGAAGAAACACATCGATTTGTACGACACCAGCGACAACCCCAAGGACCACCCGATGCATGACACTATCAATAAAAAAGTGCTCGGCAAGATGAAAGACGAATGCGCCAGAACACCGATCACGGAATACATCGGCTTGAGACCCAAAATGTATTCCATCCTGAAAGCAGACGATAATGAAATCAGAAAAGCGAAAGGCGTGAAAAAATATGTGGTGAAAAAACAAATCAAACAGGCCAGATTCAAGGAAGCCCTGTTCAAGATTCGCACTTTCAAACATCAAATGAATACACTGAGAAGCGACGGACACAGGATATATGGACTGACGATAAACAAAACGTCCCTGTCGCCGGACACGAAACGTTGGATCGCCATCAACGGAATCAACACGTACACGTCGGACACGAAAAATTGAACTAAAAGAATAATTATATATATATATAATGTCACGACATCAAAAAAAAATTGAAAACATTTATTACAGTCTGCGTAGGTACTGGAAAGGCGCGAGCGCCATACACAAACTTGCCAAGATAGCAAGAGTATCACAAAACGAAGCCAAAGCGTGGTTGGAAAAACAAGCCCTGTGGCAAATCTACCTACCGGTACCGCGCTATGTACCTAGAAGAATATATGACGTGTCGACGCCCAATCGCGTTCACCAAGCCGACCGCCTGTTTCTACCCCACGACATGGTGAGACGTAAAACATACAAGTACGCCCTAACCGTCGTTGACGTGGCCAGCCGCTACAAAGAAGCTGAACCCTTAACCGCGAAAGATTCGACCCAAGTAGCATGCGGATTCGAGGGCATATACAAGCGCAGTCGGCTGACATGGCCCACATAGCTGCAAGTCGATGCTGGACGGGAGTTCATGGGTGCCGTGTCACAACTGCTAGCCAAGCACGGCATCTAAGTCAGGCGCGGAGCGGCCGGAGCTCATCGCAGTCAAGCCATAGTCGAGAGATTCAATAGGACTTTGGCCCAGCGCTTATTTGGGGATCAGTACGCACAGGAAATAGGTCTAAACACCCCCAACACCGAATGGGTCGTGCGACTACCTCAAGTGGTGTCGGCTATCAATCACGAAATCACTCGTGTCACTGATAAAAAAACAGCCAACGCTATTAAATTGAAATCAGTGAATGCTGAATCAGCTGCACCGTCGCGTGGGAAAGAGAAACAAATACCCGACCGGGCTCTTGTGAGGTACCTATATCAGCCAGGAGAACACGAAGGAGACACTCATAAACGAGCCACCGATCCTACATGGTCGGTCAAAACTTACAACGTAGATAAAGTGGACATCAAAGACGACGAACCGAACTTGCACTATGGGCCGCCGAGAGGTTTCGTCAGAGAGGAATTATTGATCATAACTCACGACACAATGTTACCACCCAAAAAATATAGCATTTGCTAAGCATTGCTAAGCATTGCTAAGAATTTGCTAAGCATTTGCTAAACTCAAACACTCGATAAGCCACGGGTTGGTCGGTTTTCAGCACGAGTTTGGGTTGTTTCGTTTCGGCGAGTTGTTTTTTCATTCGTTCCCGTTCTAGTTTGCTCATCACGTCGTTTTCTCTCAAACATTCCTCGAACGAATCCCTGTCCTTGCAGTGAATAAGGCAACCTTGCTTCAGGGTCTGTACGAGAGACTAAAGGCAACCCATCGCGTCTGTTCCCTGAGGTCTTTCAACACCGAGTTGAATTTCTGCGTTAGCACCCAAATGCTGTGCTTTGCGTGTCGGCCAGAAAACGCTAAATACCATAGCATGTCTCTCTTTTTTGTTATCTCTTTATTAGTGCTGCAGTCGTCCAGGATAAACAGCGTCAACTTCCCTTTAAATTTGTTGTGATAAGCTTTCAGCCAATCCTGCAGACGTGTTCCCGGGTTGACTTTGTGCACGTCCGGGTCCGTCATCACCCAAGATCTTTCCGTGTACGTTTTGTTGATGTGCAGAGTACGGCACATGATAACGATGTTATCGAAGGTATCCCGGTAGTATCCCTCCAGCATATTCAGCACGAAAACGGTCTTCCCACAGCCCGTCTGCCCGCACACTAAAGCGCAGTTCAGATCGCGAGGTAGATCAATAAATTGCCTGCACGAATCTTCCATTGTCGATATTAAGTTGCGCGTCCATAGTCGCGTACAAATATAGTTTTAATTTGCCTGCGGTTTGAGCCTTCTTGACGATTTGGATGGTGATCCCCTCGCTGCCATTGTCAATGCGGCGTCTGCTTCCGTGTAGCCTGTCGTCATACGTGGATCGCATGTCCAACCACAGCGCGTACTTGGTGGTCAGGTATTCCCCGATCTGCATGGAGGATAGATCCAGGTCCTTGGCGACGTTGTTGACTTCCGGTGGGTGTTGTTTGAGAGTCGGTAGCTTTTTTATCTCGTCCCATTGCTGGTATGCCCTCATGCCTTGGCTGAACAGTTGGTTGGGCACGCCCTCGATGGTCACTTCCACTTTCGTGATTTCAGGATTGAAAAACCTTTCGCTGTCTCTTTCGAATGGTACATATTCCTCCACTGGAATGATCAAGATGCCTTTCATTGATCGCGCCGGCACATTCAAGTTGATATTCCACAACGTGTAACTCTTGTCCCGTACTATCGTTTTATGCCGCAGGACCCTATCGTACAGGATGGACAGCTTCCCAGAGTACTGGTTTCGAATCTGCCGGGCCAGCTCCGAACTCGTGACCATGTTGAAATCCAGTGAGATGTTGTCGATGGCGTAACTACCATCATCGCCGTTCGACGTATGCACGACTTTGCTGTAGTCGTTAAACGTGAGTTCGTATTCCAGCCAATCGCCCAGCGCGGCCTGGTAAAGCGGCGCGTATCCCGAGCGGGTTGTTTCGTTTCGGCGAGTTGTTTTTTCATTCGTTCCCGTTCTAGTTTGCTCATCACGTCGTTTTCTCTCAAACATTCCTCGAACGAATCCCTGTCCTTGCAGTGAATAAGGCAACCTTGCTTCAGGGTCTGTACGAGAGACTAAAGGCAACCCATCGCGTCTGTTCCCTGAGGTCTTTCAACACCGAGTTGAATTTCTGCGTTAGCACCCAAACGCTGTGCTTTGCGTGTCGGCCAGAAAACGCTAAATACCATAGCATGTCTCTCTTTTTTGTTATCTCTTTATTAGTGCTGCAGTCGTCCAGGATAAACAGCGTCAACTTCCCTTTAAATTTGTTGTGATAAGCTTTCAGCCAATCCTGCAGACGTGTTCCCGGGTTGACTTTGTGCACGTCCGGGTCCGTCATCACCCAAGATCTTTCCGTGTACGTT